ATAATCTTACAAGAATGATGAATTGCAGAGTGAGAGAGAAAAGAGAGAGAGAGAGAGAGAGAGAGAGAGAGAGAGAGAGAGAGAGAGGAGAGAGAGAGAGAGAGAGAGAGAGAGAGAGGAGAGAGAGAGAGAGAGAGAGAGAGAGAGAGAGAAAAGAGAGTTCTATTGTGCACAAGAGTTGAAAATCAAGAAATTTACATAGGGTAGAGACAGAGAAGACATCGTACCCAAGGGTTAAAAATATCCCGCTGCAAAATTTAAACAAAAAAATAAAAAGAGCGAGAGGACGAACAGAGAAGAGAAAAAAAAGGGGTAGAGAGGAAATGGGGAAAGGGGGGCTGGAAGGCAGGGGTAAGTAGGACTAAGGGGGTAAAAGGGGAGCAAAGGGATGAAATTAAAGGTGATGAGATGTTGTACTCAATGGATTAAGACCTTTAGTAGAGGTTGCCGAACACTACCAGCGACTTTCCTGTTCTGCTGATATATATGTGTTATATATATATATATATATATATATATATATATATATATATATATATATATATATATATATATATATATATATATATATGAATAAAACATTAAAATGCTAAGGGCCATAAAGCGCCTGGATAATGGGAGACAATCAGGTTTAATACGAGTTTACGAAAGGGTAGATCCAATTCACTGGATCAAGAGCCCTTCAACAGCATTAATGCATTCCTCTTGAAGCGGCCAATACACCATGCAAGACACTCGTGCTGTTTATTACATGGGTAGTAAATTCATGTGCTGGCTTGCTAGGTCAACATGTATGTGTTTGTACTGGTGGCAGAGGTGGTGATGGTGGTTGTTAGTGGTTTGGTGATGGGTGGTGGTGAGTGTGGTGGTTGGTGTTGGTAGTGCTGGTAGTTGGTGCTGGGTGGTGGTAGTGATGTACCAGTGATGTACCAGGTATCTGAATGGTTAACCAGGTCTCTGGACGATCTACCATGTGTTTGAAAGGTGAACCAGGTCTCTGGACGATCTACCAGGTATCTGAATGGTTAACCAGGTCTCTGGACGATCTACCAGGTATCTGAATGGTTAACCAGGTCTCTGGACGATCTACCATGTGTTTGAAAGGTGAACCAGGTCTCTGGACGATCTACCAGGTATCTGAATGGTTAACCAGGTCTCTGGACGATCTACCAGGTATCTGAATGATGAACCAGGTCTCTGGACGATCTACCAGGTATCTGAATGGTGAACCAGGTCACTGGACGATCTACCAGGTGTCTGAAAGGTAAACCAGGTCTCTGGACGATCTACCAAGCATCTGAATGGTGAACTAGGTGACCGAATGATGATGAACCACGCGGTAGAAGGATCAATCAGGTAACAACTTGCACAGAAGGGGGCCCAAAAACGCCACAGCTTCCGAGGCAGAGAAGTATTTCAACGCAAACCTCTTTGCAGATAGTGTGTTGGAAGCGGTGTATAGGACCAGCGATAATCACCACCGTCCTTGAAGCTTCAAGTGCCTCATTACCGCAACTCCCACATCATCCGTTTGTTTAATCTCCATTAGTTTTTCCAAGCACCAGAATAGCCTCTAAACCACGTTTACATTTGAAGCACTGTTTAACCCGCAAGATTCTGACCAGGGAGACTACTCATTTTTTTTTTTTGAGTGGGTTGGGGGGAATGATAAAGGAGCGAGGTCACACTACTCATCCAGTCAGTGAATATACGGCCTTAAAGAGAGTTTTAGGCAGTGCCACTCATCCTGTGAGTGAATATGCAGCCTTAAAGACAGTCTTAGACAGTGCCACTCATCCTGTGAGTGAATATGCACCCTTAAAGACAGTCTTAGACAGTGCCACTCATCCTGTGAGTGAATATGCACCCTTAAAGACAGTCTTAGACAGTGCCACTCATCCTGTGAGTGAATATGCATCCTTAAAGACAGTCTTAGACAGTGCCACTCATCCTGTGAGTGAATATGCATCCTTAAAGACAGTCTTAGACAGTGCCACTCATCCTGTGAGTGAATATGCATCCTTAAAGACAGTCTTAGACAGTGCCACTCATCCTGTAATACTACAACAACATCTCAAACAATTAAAAAAAACTAGGCCATAGGTAATGTCAGCTCCATAAACCGTCATTTCAACAAATAGGTTTCACTATTAAAAAATAAGATAATAAATACCATAGACACACTTCCAACTGAGAAACAGATTTTTAAAAGATGTCCGAAAGTTACTCAATATTTAAGGTCTCGCGATTCTCCCAAACTCATACATTTGCACATATTTTATCCTGCGTGACCCATAAGGGTTTAGGACTTGTTTTATAATAATAATAATAATAAAAATAAATAATAATAATAATAATAATAATAATAATAATAATAATAATTATTATTTTATTATTATTATTATTATTATTATTATTATTAATATTATAATTATTATTATTATTATTATTATTATTATTATTATTATTATTATTATTATTATTAATATTATAATTATTATTATTATTATTATTATTATTATTATTATTATTATTATTATAATTATAATAACAATAATAATAATAATAATTATTATTATTATTATAATAATATAATTATTATTATTATTATTATTATTATTATTATTATAATTATAATAACAATAATCATAATAATATTATTATTATTAAAATAATAATATATTTATTATTATTATTATTATTATAACTGTAATATGATACATCTATATGTCTCCCTCCTAGGGAGGTGCCGTGATGCTGGTGAAGGGCTCTTGATCCAGGGAAATTGGAGCTGCCATCCCCTTAGAATTGAACCAAATTATTTTATCAAACCCGGACGGGGGCGGCTGTGTGACCCCTCAGGGTTTAACACTTCCCTGTGAATACAATAACAAGTTGCCTCTGCCTAAATATCCTCTTCCTCGAGGTACTAAATATTCACGGGGGGAGGGGGTGAGCGGTAAACCCATAGGAGCCATACAGAGTCTGGAAACGAGCAGTAAACAATTTCGATTGGGTTTATACAAGGGACGTTAGGAGCCTGGGTTTATACAAGGGACGTTAGGAGCCTGGGTTTATACAAGGGACGTTAGGAGCCTGGGTTTATACAAGGGACGTTAGGAGCCTGGGTTTATACAAGGGACGTTAGGAGCCTGGGTTTATACAAGGGACGTTAGGAGCCTGGGTTGAGACAAGGGACGTTAGGAGCCTGGGTTGAGACAAGGGACGTTAGGAGCCTGGGTTTATACAAGGGACGTTAGGAGCCTGGGTTTATACAAGGACGTTAGGAGCCTGGGTTTATACAAGGGACGTTAGGAGCCTGGGTTTATACAAGGGACGTTAGGAGCCTGGGTTTATACAAGGGACGTTAGGAGCCTGGGTTGAGACAAGGGACGTTAGGAGCCTGGGTTGAGACAAGGGACGTTAGGAGCCTGGGTTTATACAAGGGACGTTAAGAGCCTGGGTTTATACAAGGGACGTTAGGAGCCTGGGTTTATACAAGGGACGTTAGGAGCCTGGGTTTATACAAGGGACGTTAGGAGCCTGGGTTTATACAAGGGACGTTAGGAGCCTGGGTTGAGACAAGGGACGTTAGGAGCCTGGGTTTATACAAGGGACGTTAGGAGCCTGGGTTTACACAAGGGACGTTAGGAGCCTGGATTGAGTGAGACAAGGGACGTTAGGAGCCTGGGTTGAGTGAGACAAGGGACGTTAGGAGCCTGGGTTTATGCAAGGGACGTTAGGAGCCTGGGTTGAGACAAGGGACGTTAGGAGCCTGGGTTTATACAAGGGACGTTAGGAACCTGGGTTTATACAAGGGACGTTAGGAGCCTGGGTTGAGACAAGGGACGTTAGGAGCCTGGGTTGAGACAAGGGACGTTAGGAGCCTGGGTTTACACAAGGGACGTTAGGAGCCTGGATTGAGTGAGACAAGGGACGTTAGGAGCCTGGGTTGAGTGAGACAAGGGACGTTAGGAGCCTGGGTTTATGCAAGGGACGTTAGGAGCCTGGGTTTATACAAGGGACGTTAGGAGCCTGGGTTGAGACAAGGGACGTTAGGAGCCTTGGTTGAGACAAGGGACGTTAGGAGCCTGGGTTTATACAAGGGACGTTAGGAGCCTGGGTTTATACAAGGGACGTTAGGAGCCTGGGTTGAGACAAGGGACGTTAGGAGCCTGGGTTTATACAAGGGACGTTAGAAGCCTGGGTTAAGACAAGGGACGTTAGGAGCCTGGGTTTACACAAGGGACGTTAGGAGCCTGGGTTGAGACAAGGGACTTTAGGAGCCTGGGTTTACACAAGGGACGTTAGGAGCCTGGTTTGAGTGAGACAAGGGATGTTAGGAGCCTGGGTTGTAACAAGGGACGTTAGGAGCCTGGGTTTACACAAGGGACGTTAGGAGCCTTGGTTGAAACAAAGGACGTTAGGAGCCTGGGTTTACACAAGGGACGTTAGGAGCCTGGGTTTACACAAGGGACGTTAGGAGCCTGGGTTGAGACATGGGATGTTAGGAGCCTGGGTTGAGACAAAGGACGTTAGGAGCCTGGGTTTACACAAGGGACGTTAGGAGCCTGGGTTTACACAAGGGACGTTAGGAGCCTTGGTTGAAACAAAGGACGTTAGGAGCCTGGGTTTACACAAGGGACGTTAGGAGCCTGGGTTTACACAAGGGACGTTAGGAGCCTGGGTTGAGACATGGGATGTTAGGAGCCTGGGTTGAGACAAAGGACGTTAGGAGCCTGGGTTTACACAAGGGACGTTAGGAGCCTGGGTTTACACAAGGGACGTTAGGAGCCTGGGTTGAGACATGGGATGTTAGGAGCCTGGGTTGAGACAAGGGACACTAGGAGCCTGGGTTGAGACAAGGGACATTAGAAACCTGGGTTTAGATATGGAACATTAGAAGCCTGGGTTTTGACATGGAAGATTAGAAGCCTGGGTTTAGACATTGAGCATTAGGAACTTGGGTTGAGACAAGGGTTTAGGGCACCATCATATACCTGGGTTAAGAAAGCCATTTGAAGCTCGTCTCTTGGTGTTGCGAGCAGCGATGCCTGAGGAAGCTGAAGGGAGGGCGGACGCGTCCGGGAGGCTCTTACGTCGGGAGGCAAACATCTTATGAGGGTGAAACACGACTGTTTTGGACTCGGAAGTTGGCCGGAACATTGGTCACCTCCTCTACGAGCTTGGAGGCGCTGTGATCATCATGTTATCACCTTTACGCCAATCTCAGCACCTCTTCTCTACTCTTCTCTACGCCTCTCTTGCCTCCTCTTGCTCAGTACCTATTTCAACTTCCCGTTACTCCTGTTGCTTCTTGATCTGTTGCTCCTTCTGCTTCCTCTTGCCTTGGTTTGAATACTTCTTCTTGCCGTTCGTCTGATTGCCGTTGTGGTTACTACAGCAACTTGTTAACCATTGTTATCATTCGTAATTTCACTTTGTGTCGAAGTGAGTACACTTTGTGTTCAGAGATATACGCTCAAGAGTGGTCTGCGTATGTTCAGCGAGTCTGCAGGAGTCAGCATCGCTAATAGCTGGTGTGAACTAACGAGTGAGTGTGCAACAAGGGAGAAGGAAGGAAGAGAGAGAGAGGGGGGGGTGGTACGGGGTGTCTGCACGTGTGAGAGGGGCCGGAGGGCCAGGAAGAGCAGCGGGAAGCTGTCACACAAGCAGCAGCAGTGGGGAGCAGCAGAGCAGCGATATCGACTGGCCTCGTACCGGGGAACCGGTGGCAACTGGCGCGGCGGCGACTCCTGACTACCTCACCTCACCTCCCCGCCTTCCCTATCAGCAGGTGATGCGCACGCCCTCCTCTCCTAGGATCACCCCTTCCGTGGCTGCCCCGTGCACTATCTTCTCACTATCTCACCAAAACCTGCATCCACAAGTCCACGTGACCGCACACAACAATGGTAGTCCTCGAGAAGGCTTCAGAGTGCAGCGTGACTGTCCTATCTTCACGACCGCCCCCTTCCCCGCCGGGATGCTGTACGCAGCTATCTGCGGTTGTAATGGTTGAGTCTCGGCTCTTGGCCCCGCCTCTCGACCGCTCATGAAAGGTCACATTCTATTCTTGGCCTCCAGGGTTCTGTCATACATATTCTGAAGACTGTGTATCCATTAACTGACCACCTTATTCCTAACAGCACTCCACTGACATATCTGTGTCTCATTTGCTTCTTTAATTTCCATCTTCGACCCCTTGCACCTTCTTCTCTCCTTTCAAATAATCTTTCACTATCTGCCTTTTCGAGTCCTTTGCGTATCTCTTCCGGTACTGTACGGTTTTTGCCTATAGTCGTTCTCTAGTATCCCGCTACACTGTTAATAAGGTACATGAATCCTGTGCTTAAGTCTGCCAGACGCTCATAAGCTGTCGTGTGGTATTACGCTAACTCCAAGGTCGTCTTCCTATTTTTGAGGTTCCTAGGCGTGGTCTTCCCAGTTTATTTTCCGCATCTGGTGTGCCTGGACTCGCACTCAGTCGCCACTACAATTCGGAATGGTTGGGTTCGACAATGAACCGAACACGAACGTAACATTAACAACATCCAGAATCTAGAAAGTACTCTCAAATTTCAATTCAAGGATTATGTTTATATATATACGCGAATCTCTCCTCATGCTTTATCACCCTCTCTATTTCAGCCATCCTCAAGCTTTCACTGTCTCTCTTCTGTTTACACACACTCTCTTTCTCTCTTCTGTTTACACTAACTCCATCCCTCTCCCTCCTCCTGCGTTAAGAAACTGCTCTTACCGACTCGCTCGTGGCGTTCGATGCAATTTCCTGAGTAAACACTTGCCACAATACTCCAAGTCCCGTGGTGTACATTGTCATATGCTGCAGTGGAAAGGTCAACAATATTATAGCAAGAAATTCACGTATGTTGAATAGAGATATTTAAACATCACCAACAACACCTGCAGGACTTTAAACCAGCAGCCAAAACAGCATTATCAAACTTCCGTAGACGTTGCGCAAGAAGTCATTTGGACCTCGGACATCCTACGTCAGGAGTCAAAGTCGACCAAGACTCTCCCATGAGTCAACACTTGCCAGAGATTTTCCACGAGGAGTCAGAAGCTATTATCAGGACCCGGAAAACCTTCCACAAATAACCTGCACCTGATCCCCCAGGAGGCCTGGTCAAGGTCTGCCTCGTGGGGGCGTTGACCCCCCAGAACCCCCCAAGCTAGGGAAAATGGAACTTATTAACCAGTTACATGTTTCATTCTCTTCTGTGTGGGTATTTGTGGATTGTTCCAGTGACAGTATTGTGCCTTTTTATTCCTTCCTCCAAAAACTTCATCAGAAGTCACAGATCACCATTAAGACTAAATTCTCTATCACAAATCAAACGTTCGTAGAGGGGACTCAAGAGGCTCTGTACCTAGAGCCATAGTGTACCAACATGGCCCCAGTGACTCCAGGACCCACTAATCAGCGCCCACAATATCAAAAACTGTCCACCAAGAAGCGAACATCAATTTAATGGGAAGACAATCGAAAATAAAAATGTCGCCTCTGTAAGCATCCATAGCCTTCGTAGGCTGAGTATCCATACACAGTTTCTACACACCGAAATATTTCGCTCAGCGTATGTATACGCTGAGGGAATGAACGTATGTATACGCTGAGGAATATACTTCTGGGATTAAACTACCCTTGTCTAATGATAAAAAGGTCTTAATGACCCTCGTGTAGTCGATGGGACTAATTAAACCCTCTTTACCCAACCAGCCAGTAGCACCTTGTGTGCAGGAGTCTGTTGTGATCTTGGAGGCGATGGTGTCAAGATATATGTCTACCTGGCGTCTACCTGGAGTCTACCTGGAGGGCATTCCGGGGATCAACGCCCCCGCGGCCCGGTCCATGACCAGGCCTCCTAGTGGGTCAGGGCCTGATCAACGAGGCTGTTGCTGCTGTGAAGCTTAAAAAGATCCATATTACTACGCGTTTAACTAAAGCTTTACTGTATGTCAGCAAACTAGAGATGAACAGATTTTTTATATTGTAATACGCCAAGTGCCATTATTTTCTTAGGGTTTTTTCTTTGATAATAAATTAGGCCGTTCTCATATACATCTATTGTATTTTTAAACCTGGATACATTTTTTGTATAAAAAATGATTTTGTTTCCTTTTAATTATTAATTTATTGTGACGGTGTCATAAAATATATTGACGTTACTGTAGCCATTATATTGTCTCATTAATATTTCTGTAGTCATTATATCTCGTCAAAAACGTACCAGTAGTCATCATATAGTGCCATTAACGTAACTGTAGTCATTATATCTCGTCAAAAACGTACCTGTAGTCATCATATAGCACCCTTAACTTAACTGTAGTCATTATATCTCGTCAAAAACGTACCTGGAGTCATCATATAGTGCCATTAACGTAACTGTAGTCATTATATCTCGTCAAAAACGTACCTGGAGTCATCATATAGCACCCTTAACTTAACTGTAGTCATTATATCTCGTCAAAAACGTACCTGGAGTCATCATATAGCACCCTTAACTTAACTGTAGTCATTATATCTCGTCAAAAACGTACCTGGAGTCATCATATAGTGCCATTAACGTAACTGTAGTCATTATATCTCGTCAAAAACGTACCTGGAGTCATCATATAGTGCCATTAACGTAACTGTAGTCATTATATCTCGTCAAAAACGTACCTGGAGTCATCATATAGTGCCATTAACGTAACTGTAGTCATTATATCTCGTCAAAAACGTACCTGGAGTCATCATATAGTGCCATTAACGTAACTGTAGTCATTATATCTCGTCAAAAACGTACCTGGAGTCATCATATAGTGCCATTAACGTAACTGTAGTCATTATATCTCGTCAAAAACGTACCTGTAGTCATCATATAGTGCCATTAACGTAACTGTAGTCATTATATCGGGTCATTAGTAACACAACCCACCACTAGGAACACGCATTTCTCTCTTGCTTTGTTTTGTATATTCCTCCCCAGCCATCCCTTCCACCACCTGTTACCAACTACACCTCCCTGCCATCATCTCTACCTCCCTGCCATCATCTCTACCTCCCTGCCATCATCTCTACCTCCCTGCCATCATCTCTATCTCCCTGCCATCATCTCTACCTCCCTGCCATCATCTCTACCTCCCTGCCATCATCTCTACCTCCCTGCGATCATCTCTACCTCCCTGCCATCATCTCTACCTCCCTGTCATCATCTCTACCTCCCTGATATCATCTCTACCTCCCTGCCATCATCTCTACCTCCCTGCCATCATCTCTACCTCCCTGCCATCATCTCTACCTCCCTGCGATCATCTCTACCTCCCTGCGATCATCTCTACCTCTCTGCCATCATCTCTACCTCCCTGCCATCATCTCTACCTCCCTGCCATCATTTCTACCTCCCTGCGATCATCTCTATCTCCCTGCCATCATCTCTACCTCTCTGCCATCATCTCTACCTCCCTGCCATCATCTCTACCTCCCTGCGATCATCTCTACCTCCCTGCCATCATCTCTACCTCCCTGTCATCATCTCTACCTCCCTGCTATCATCTCTACCTCCCTGCCATCATCTCTACCTCCCTACCATCATCTCTACCTCCCTGCCATCATCTCTACCTCCCTGCGATCATCTCTACCTCCCTGCGATCATCTCTACCTCTCTGCCATCATCTCTACCTCCCTGCCATCATCTCTACCTCCCTGCCATCATTTCTACCTCCCTGCGATCATCTCTATCTCCCTGCCATCATCTCTACCTCTCTGCCATCATCTCTACCTCCCTGCCATCATCTCTATCTCCCTGCCATCATCTACACCTCCCTGCCATCATCTCTACCTCCCTGCCACCATCTACACCTCCCTGCCATCATCTCTACCTCCCATCATCCTCCCCTGCCATCAACTCCTTGCCATCATCTCTACCTCTCTGCCATCATCTCTACCTCCCTGCGATCATCTCTACCTCCCTGCTATCATCTCTACCTCCCTGCCATCATCTCTACCTCCTGCCATCATTTCTACCTCCCTGCCATCATCCTCCCTGCCATCAACTCCCTTACCATCATCTCTACCTCCCTGCCATCATCTACACCTCCCTGCCATCACCTCTACCTCCCTGCCACCATCTATACCTCCCTGCCATCATCTCTACCTCCCTGCCATCATCTCCACCACCCCTGTCATAATCCTCCCCTGCCATCACCCTTCCTTGCCATCATCTTTACCTCCCTGCCACCATCTCCACCTCCCTGCCATCATGTCCACCTCCCTGCTGTCATCTTCACCTCTCTGCCATCATCTTCACCACCCCTGTCATAATCCTCCCCTGCCATCACCCTCCTTTGCCATCACCTCTACCTCCCTGCCATCATCTCCATCTTCCTATCACCATCTTCATCTTCCTGCCATCATCTCCACCACCCCTGCCATCATCCTCCCCTGTCATCACCCTCCCCTGCCATCATCCCCAGCTCCCCCTGTACTTTCCTCTCTTTCTCTCTCCAGTGCTCGGCCCCCTGTATTGCTTAATTTGCATATGGAGTAGCCAGAGGCTGACCTTTGTGTATCTTCATTACCAGTGAACACACCCACCATGACCTCTCATCACTCAGCCCACAACAACACCTCAAGAGAATGGGGGTGAGGGAGAAAGGCACAAACGAAAAAAGAATGGGGAGGAGGAGGAGGAGGAGACTGAGCAGGAGATGGGAGTGATGGTGGAAATGAAGGTGGAGAAGGGGGGAGAAATGGAGGTAGAGGAGTTGGCGATGAAGAGTAGAAGATGGGAAGGAAGTAAGAAAGGAGATGTGGAAGAGCTCTGGGAGATTCGAAGTTGGTGAGAAGGAAAATGTAAACTAGAAGGTAAATGTACAAGAAAATATAAGAACATTGAAAAACAGAAAAAATATGTACATTTGGAAGATTATATATATAAATATATATATATATATATATATATATATATATATATATAATATATATATATATAATATAATATATATTAATATATATATATATATATATATATAGTAGGTTGGTAGACAGCAACCACCCAGGGAGGTACTACCGTCCTGCCAAGTGAGTGTAAAACGAAAGCCTGTAATTGTTTTACATGATGGTAGGATTGCTGGTGTCTTTTGTCTGTCTCATAAATATGCAAGATTACAGGTACGTCTTGCTACTT